TTTTAAAGATTTATTTTATTTATTTATTTATACAAGCACTGGGTACAGTCAGAAGCGCGAGAGGGTGAGAGAATTCACCAGAGCCAGAGAGGGGAGCAGAGCAGGCAGAAGGACCGAAGTACACTGCTGAGGGGAGAACCAGGCGGCAGGAGAGGTCTGCGCGCCATGTGGGACCCTCCTCCGGTGGCTGGGGAGCAGCCGGGGATCGAACCGGCGCCGCGGAGGCTTCGGGCAGCTTCGCAACCCAGCGCTCAACCGCTGCGCCACCGGGGAGGCCCGATCAGGCTTTTCTTAAGCAAGATCTTTTATTATCTAAACAGCTTCTAGCTGAAGAATATTAAGATTGGGCCTCCCTGGTGGCGCAGCGGTTGAACGCTGGGTTGCGAAGCTGCCCGCAGTCTCTGCAGCGCCGGTTCAATCCCCGGCCGCCAGGCGAGGGTCCCACATGGCTCGCAGACCTCTCCTGCCACCCGCTGCTCCCCTCAGCAGAAGTATTTCGTCAGTCTGCCTGTTCTGCTCTCCGCTCTGGCTCTGGTGAATTCTCTTAGCCTCCCGCGCTTCTGACTGTACCCAGTGCTTAAATAAATAAATAAATCTTTAAAAAAAAAAAGAATATTAGGATTATTCTTATTGACTGAAAGAGATATAATGGACTCTTCTTGCCTAATTCCAGGTTTGAATGTGAGGTTAAATCAGAGAGCCCAGAGGTGTTTGCTTAAAATGGAGATTCCATAGTTGCCTCTACAGAGGCTGATTGTTCTAGTTTTTTAGGTTCTCCAGGAATTTATACTTTAGACAACCTACATGGTACAGGAGGTGATTCATAAACCATGCTTTGAGAAATCATTCTTCAACTAAAGAATTGTATCATTGGTGCCTCCAGCATAGTCTCCAGGGAACTTGAGATATGTGGTCCCACGTGAAGGTGGGAACAGGTAGCCCACCCTGTCAAGAATTCTTCCTGCCTGTGACATCAGCTTCCATTATCATGTAAGTGACTTGACCTGACAACTCCATCACCTCTTCTAAACTTCGATTCCCTGCACTTTACCATTGGTTTCTTTGGTTCATGCCTTTAACCATTATAAGTGAAAAGACTCCTGAAATTCTCCTATTAATTTGAGGAGTCAGAGTTAAAGATGTAATTTATACATAGTTCTGTGAGCTGGCTGAGCCCTCAAAATCATTTAACATGATGGAAACTTGCAGTGGGTCAGCAAACTGGGTGGCATCCTCTCAGTGCACTGCACAGGGTTTGGGCTCCTACCATTTAGTGATGTGTTTCTAATAGAACTTGAAAAGCGAAATTTTTGAATTCCAGAATTTGATTTCTTTCTGGAAATGTACTGCTATTTAGATTCATTCAGCTAAATAGGTAGGCAAATACTTCCTCATCTGTAAAACAGGTGATAATAGTGACCCCATCCCATAGAGATGTTGTGCACATAATATAATTACATTTACTGTGGTGTATAGTAAGTGTTCAGTAAATGATAGTGGTTTATATGTTCCCATGCAAGATCATTTCCCAGTATCATCTTTAGAACTTGAGTCCCAGTAAGTGTGTTGCAAAAAAAGACTATGTAACTTTGTAACCTTGAGAAATAAGTACATATTTACTTGACCAAATTAATTTTTACCACAGACTCCCCTCTTCCCTCCATTTAATGTAATTTTAATTCTTACAGACCTATTGCTATATATTCTCCAAATTACTATGTTTTTTGAAGTTTTCAGTTTTCCTCCTGCTATTTTATTTCCTAGTTGCAAGTATACCTACCAGCACAAAAGAACAAACCAAGCCCAAAGTTAGGAATAGAAAGTAACAGGATTAGAGCAGAAATAAATGAGATCAATTGTAATAGAAAAAAATTAGAGTTGTTTTTAGATATAAAATTGACAAGCTCCTAGCTAGACTAAGAAAAAAGAACACTCAAAAATGAAAGAAGATACATTACAACTGATTATACAGAAATTTAAAAAGATCATAAAAGGCAACTATGAATAATTATTCACCAACAAACTGACTTCTAAAATAAGTAAACAGGGCCTCCCCGGTGGTGCAGCGGTTGAGCGCTGGGTTGTGAAGCTGCCCGCTGCCTCTGCAGCGCCGGTTCGATCCCCGGCTGCTCCCCGGCCACCGGAGGAGGGTCCCACATGGTGCGCAGACCTCTCCTGCCGCCCGCTGCTCCCCTCAGCAGTGTACTTCGGTCCTTCTGCCTGCTCTGCTCCCCACTCTGGCTCTGGTGAATTCTCTCACCTTCCCGCGCTATTGACTGTACCCAGTGCTTGTATAAATAAATAAATAAATAATAAAATAAGTAAATATTTCTGGAATTATATGATTTGCCAAAACTAAGTCATGAAGAAATAAAAAATTGAACAGACCCTTAACTATTACATAGATAGAATCAGTAATCAAATATCTCCCAACAAAGAAAAAAAGCTCAGGACCAAATGGCTTAATTTGTGAATTACCAAATATTTAATGAATTAATGCCTGTCCTCTCAAAGTCTTCCCCAAATGATAAGGATAAATCCCTTCCAAATTCATTTTATGTGCCCAGCATTACTCTGATAATAAAGCCACGCAAAGAATCACAAGATCAACAAAAGAAAAAGGAAAAACACCAAAAACAAAAACTATGACAATTTATCTGATGAATATAGATGTAAAATCCTTAACAAAACATTAGCAAATTGATTGCAACAGTGCATTAAAAAGAGTGTATGCCACAACCAAGTGGGATTTATCCCTGAGAAACAAAATAGTTCAATATATGAAATCAATCAATTTGATATAAGAATAAAGGATTAAAATCACATGAGCATCATAGCAGATGCAAGGAAAAAAAAAAGCATTTGGTGAGACTCAATAGGGCAACAAACCAGGAACTGTTCTCTCTGCCTGTTAGGTAGGGAGCTTGACTCTGGGGTGCTTGCTCCTGTGAATATTCAGGTGCTTCCTCCCACCTCCATATGTGAGTAGAGATTTTTCAAAGGTCAATCATTAGCAATATCTAGCAATGCTATCCATTCTTTTAAATACTCATGTCAGACAAATATCAGCCAATAGAATAAGTGCCGAAACATCTACATTATGGTATCTTGCATAGCATCTAAGTAGGCAGATACCAAGCAGAGAGACCTTAGCTACAATTTTGTTACAAAACAATATTAATGGAAAACTAATGTTGGTAGCATTCTGTGTACATCACACAGTATCAACACTGTCCTTCAGAAGCCTGCAGTCAGAAAGTGGCCTGAATGCCAAACTACACATGCAACTCTCAATCCATTAATTTGGAGTTTCTGCTATTCCAATCAGAATGAGAGTCTGTCTCTCAAATTCTTTCTTTTCTCCCTAACGTAATGAATGCAGATAGCAAGTGAAAACTTGGAATATTTGGAAAAGAGTTTTTAACAAAGAAAAATGCAAATTTATGATAATATATTAAAAAGGAATTAATATTTGACTATGTTTATAGGATTATATATGTACCTATAATGGTGATATGCATATCACCTATTCTTTACAATCAATAATTTCAGGTAGTTTAACTTGTTTAGTAATTAAACTACTATATATGTAAATACTCTGGACTATTTGCCCTTTGCTAATGAAAGCTATTTCTCACCCTGAATTACCCTTTCTGTAGGCACTCTCTTAACTGATCTCTCCTTCGCCTTCTTATAGGGTGAACCAATGTTCTCTATGAAAGATAACCAAAGGATGCCTGTCGTGCTCGTGTGGATGGCTGCTGTTTTGCTGTCTTCTGCTAATTTGATACTTCGCCCCTACAAGACTGTCAGCTGGTTTCTTCACTTCCAGTAGTGAAGAAACACTTCCTCTGTGTCCAAAGACCAGCTCTCAGGCTCTTATTCTATATCCAGAACCCAGAACCTGCAAATGTTCCATGTGGCCAATAGCTTACCTCTTTGTGAGGCTACCCTCTTCAACATAGAGACTTTGTTGTAATGCATGGGAAGCAGCAGCCCTCTCACACTATTTAACAGAATATCATTTTTTATTTTATTATTTAGCCTTTCTAGTTAATCTTGGTGAGATTATTAGTCTGCTGCATGACATCCTACATGGGGCAGAAGTCTTGAATCTGTATTTGAAATCAGGGGGCAGGGAGATGTGTTCAACCAAGTGGGTTTTATTTATCCAATTTCTGTTTCAGAGCTCTAAAAAAAATATTTTCTGCTTAGAAAGTTAATGCTCCTGAGATCTGATGAACACATATAAAATTTATTCTTTTTTTCCTTTAGTGTTTAAATGTTATCTATTTACCAAAAAAATCCTTAAATCACAGCATTTAATGACTCTACTTTAAATGTGCCATTCAGAAATGATTTGTGAAATCAAATTTATTTCAACGGGGTTTGAGACCCACTTAGAGTAGACCAGAATTTGTTTTGGTGAGGAGATGCATCCTCTCCCTTTGTCTTCCAAAGGAGCCTTTGTGCATGGACACCTCTGTTGCAGTCCTGTGGTTCAGGTCAGGAAAGACGTTCAGTTCACTCTGAGAAGCTACAGTTCATAACTTTGTGCATCAAAAGTCAATGGATCCAGCTATTGGGAATCAAAATCCCAAACATCTGAATCTACAGAAGATATTTCATTGTCCTTAGTGAACTGTCTCAGCAATTGGCCTTCCTCTAAAGCCAGGACTGCATAAAGCTAGGAAACTGGAAACCCCTGCCCTCAGGGCTCTGGCGCTTGGCCCCAGAGTGCTGCCAGCGCAAGTGGCAGAGAGTGGTAGGCATATTACCTACCACTCACTGGCCCCATTGGGGCTCAGGCTGCACACCAAGGACAGCAGTGATAGTGGACAGCAATGGTTCCCCTACCACACCGCCCCAAGGCATACAGCCCCTGGCTCAGGGTTGCCGGGAGGTACATGGGCCCCCCACTGGCTCAGGGTTGCCGGGAGGTGCATGGGCCGGCTCCAATGCTGTGGCTCCTCCAGCTGCAGGCAGTAGAGAGACCCAATCAGCCATAGGATTGAAAACACTCCAATCAGACTCGTGGGTAGGCCGAGCCCTGAAAGAGAATATAAGGCAGGGCAGGCACCAGCGTGGGACTCAGAGACTCTCAGACTCTGATGGATTCTGTTCCTGGTCTCTGAGGAGAGACTCAGACTCTTGGACACACAGACTGACCTCTGAAGAAAAAGAAACATCTAGCAGCTGACCTCTGAGGAAAGAAGAGAAGCTGAAAAGCCTTACAGAGGAGCTAAACAGCTTCACAGAAGCTGGGCCGGCCACACCTGCCTTGGACCTGCCTCTGACATCGCCTGAAAGGGGCACTAAAGACTCCAGCAAATAGCTGTGTGTTGTTTGTGTAGGCCAACACCTCACAGAAAGCTGTGATCTTGGTGTATCTTACACCACCTGCACGACTGGCCAGTGCTGCCCAGCACTGTCTAGGTCATCTCTGAGAGCTGTTAACTGCTCCTGACCATCCAGCACTTCCTCCTGATGCTGCTGCTTCCGTTGCTGTCTGGTCCACCATCCAGTGCTTTCCATCCTGATCTCCAGACTGTGGCTGGGGCTGCTGCAGCATCAACACTGTGGCCCCACCTGTGATCACCTCCAGCTTCAGCGAGTGGGTCCTGGCCTACTGCTGCCGGCTGCTATAAGCACCAGCCCCTCATTGGCAGGACAGTGACATCTTGGATGAGCACCCTTTTGTTTGGGACTTCTGGACACTCTGGACATTAACTGAGGTGAGATAGCTGGCCACTTGTGGCCTTAGAAATTCTGTTTCCCCTGTTTGTTAGATAAACTCCGTTGTTGTTTTACCCTGAACCTGTGTGATCTTGCAATTGTGCACATGGGTGAAAAACCCATAGACGGTGACCTGTCCCCTATTGGGCACTATCCTTGAGGCTAGCCCTGCTGTAGCACCCCAATAGCATCTTTCAAATAGGCAAAGATTAGGCAAATGTGGAGGATAGCTTTCCCCAAATCAGAGTCCAAATAGGATTGAGGATTATAAAGGTGTCTAAAGGGCTTGCTCCTTAGCCAAAGTCAGGTTGACCTGGGAACTTAAGGAGTCTTGCATGTATATAAATTTCCACTAAGGAGAGTAAGGGAAAACGCTTATGGAAACAGTACCACCTTCTTTCACACCCTCATCCCTCTGCCTTCTTGGCCTCCAACCCCACTGTTACCCCAATCATCTGAAAGAAAGATCCTCCTCAGCTGACATGGTCCTTTAGAGAGATCTTGGATTCTTTCCATAGGCTACCTCTCTGAAAAGCAAACCTCTTGTCACACCCCCACAGAGCATTTAGATTTTATAAACCACACTACTATTTTCAGTGTGTGCCCTTGTGCTTGTAAGTGATGAGTCAGGATTCTCTTTTTAAAAATATACTTGGTATTCCTCAGAAGAAAGATCTACATATTTAAATGTTGCCACTATTCTATTCTAATCACAAAGTAAACAGTTGCTCCTTTTCTTGCTGCCCTCAGGCCCACAGAACCCTTGGGGCTTCTTCCTCTCCTCCCCTGATAATGCTCATTTCAAAAGCAACAGCCAAAGCAGATGCAAGGGAGAAGTGCTGGTGCTCATAAATTTAAGGAGCTAAAATAGCAACAGCTGTGGCAATTGCAGGATTTCAGCAGGTAATCAAGTAAGTGCCAAAAGCAGGATTTGAGAATTCTACTGGGGCCTGGGACAGAGGGTGGTGAGGCAGTGAGAGCTTGAACCTTAAGGAGAATCTTGCCTAGCTATCAACACAAATGCAAACCTGGTGACTTTACTCAGTTAAATGGCTTTGATATTCCTGGTTTTGACTCCAACCTCTGAACAGTAGGAATTCCTTTTCTATTCTCAGAACTTTTTACTTTCTTAGATCCATGTGTCCTATATTATACACCGTGGTTCAGTTTATTTGGGGTTATATTTATCACTGGTTCATATAGCATCTTTTTTTTTAAAGATTTATTTATTTATTATGCAAGCACTGGGTACAGTCAGAAGCATGGGAGGGTGAGAGAATTCACCAGAGCCAGAGAGGAGAGCAGAGCAGGCAGACTGACAAAGTACACTGCTGAGGGGAGCAGTGGGCAGCAGGAGAGGTCTGCGCGCCATGTGGGACCCTAGCCTGGCAGCTGGGGATCCAACTGTAACAGGGTGGTGCCCAGGAAAGGGGGAGGTTCCCTGCCCCACCCAAGGGAGGGTGGAGCTGAGCAGGAAGAGGAGAAACTGCAGAAGAGACTGAGGAAGGAAGAAGCAGGATGGAGCCAGGAGACCTGGAGGAGGCGCATGGAGCCTAGAGACATGTGAAGAAACTGCGCTTGTCTTGTGGTCGTGGACTGGGTGACACAGATGTGGGTGAGACCCATGGGGAGGTGACAATGGCAGCTTTTATCTTGATGTTGATTTTGCTCTTTTCCTTCCGGGGTTGTCTGGTTGTTTCTGACCCTTTGCTGTGGGTCCCCACTGGAAGATGCTTTAGACTTGTGGCAGGCTTTGGGGCCTTGCTCTGGGCCGATCCCATATGGATGGACTTTTACCCATGAGGGGACGGGTAACTTTGGGTGCTTCATTTAGAAACTAGATTCTTTGCCTTACCTGTATTGTTTCCTAGTTTTATTAAAGTTCCTTCCCATTAAAATATGCTATGTTTTGTGTTGATGCGGCGGATGGCAGAACCCATTTAGAATAGGCAGGTTTTTGGGGGTTTGGGCTGCCCCTCTCCCTGTCCTATAACACAACTGGCGCTGCAGAGGCTGCAGGCAGCTTCACAACCCAGCGCTCAACCACTGCACTGTGCCACAGGGGAAGCCCCATATAGCATCTTTTAATGGGCTTGTATAGTTATGAAAGGATGGGCATTTTCAAGGAGGAGTTATGGCTGAGGTTTATGGTTAGCATTTCTTCTGGAATATTCTTTCCAAGTCTAAATTAGACACTTGTATAAGAGGAACCTAGGTTTTCTCCATCACCTCGGAAGGTTAGAACAGCTCCTAGGGGCCAGCGAGGCACAGGAGGCATAGAAAGGAGAAGGGATGGGGTGTCTTGTTCTCTTTTGCTGTCAGACATAATTACAAAAGACTTTGCTGAAAGGACAGAGGGAGAGTCTAATGGATTAGCATAAGTGGCTGAGGGCACAGACTCAAGCTGGTTTAACTGGTTCAAATCCCAGCTCTCTCACTTACGGGCTCTGTGACCTTGGGCATGTATCTTGATTCTTCAATATCCACCTGAAATGATTTTGCAAGAATTAAATGATTAACTACATTGAAAATGCAAAGAACAGTGCATGCTACAAACACCTTCATTCATTTGCATAGAAATGGCTATTAAATGTTTCATAACTTATGGCACCTAAAACAACTGGGTGTGAATTCTTAGAATACTGTGTTGGGAGATTCTTAATTTGCACCCTTATTTACCTGCCTTGGGTGTGGTTTGAGAAGTGCTGGTCCAGACTCCTAGATGGTGCCTGTTTAAGAATCATTACCCACGAATGGAGGACATCGTGAATGGAGAGACTTTCACTTACAGCCATGTGACAGAACTGAATTTCCAAATGATGTGAGAATTAATTCAAATGACCAATTAGCACTGAACACTGGCAGGCTATATACTTAAGTGAGCAGCTTTACAACACCAAGAATGAGTGTTGAGAGACTGACTCATCTCCATTAAGAAGGACAAAAATGCTGATTTATCTCTTTCAAAGTCCCCTGGATCAGTATCTGGAAAATCTTACCTTGACACGTTTTACTATAAAACAACAAATAAGTACAAGAAGGTAACTTAAACTTTTCTTTTTCACTTTAGCTTTCTAATCAATTAGTAGTTCAAATGATGTATCTATGTAGTATCTGTGTTTTTTACCAATTGCTCATCAATGGCAGCTATTTTTTTAATTATTTACACAACTTCCTTATAAAGCTATATTTTACTCTGAAATAAAAGATGAAAGAATTATGTAGCCAAATTCTTATTTTCAAGCTTTTCTTCGAAGATTTCTTGAATTTGTTCTTTTTTTTTTTCCTATACTTTATGATGTTTTGACATCTTGAGAGCATTGTAAACCTGGAAAAGGGCTGCCCTTCAAGGGTAGTGCAGTCTTAGTGATAGCAAACAACTTGCCTGTAAACACACCTTTCAATCCAATGCAAAGTCCATATCGCCAACTTCCTCCTTTATCAAACACACACCAAACCAACATTGCACCTGCTTTACAGCACTCCAGGGACAGTACTAGCCAAGCAGAGATCGCCCATATATCCCAGCATCTGCCAGAATTATTCAAACTATCTGACCCGCAGCTTGCTCAAACTTGCCTACCCTTCCTCACCCACCCTGCCCCTAGAAACCACAGATAAGGCCCTGGGCCATGCTTATCCCAACACTCCTGCCTCAGGTCAGACCTAGGTGCTTCCCCTCATCTTTGCATGGCAAAGCATTTTAAAACACTCCCATAACCACAAACAATAGAGTAGAAGAAGAATATACAAAGAAAAAAATGCTCTCAACATTGAAGTAGAAGCAAAAATAAGAGAAAACTTTAATGCAATGTATTGATGTAATTTATTTTCCTTTTCCAGTTGTATTTTAAAAAGAAGATCCCTAGCTCCAAGCAGATACATATTGGAACTATGTAATTTCCATAGGGATAAATATTCATTTGCTGTGAGGGTACTTGTGAGAATTTTAACAAAATTATGGACAGTATTAATATTGGCAGAAATAACTGCTAATATAATCTTCAGCAATTCAGCAGTTACTTTAATCTCATCAAAACAGATTCAAACTTGGACCAATTTCATTTTTGCATTTTCTTTTATTTTCAAGAAACCTTTAAGTGCTTTCTCTTGGTTTTACGGCCAAATTTTAAAACATCAAGCCCTTGGGATAGATGTAATATGCCCATGTATAAAATTAAGCATCAAAAGAAAAGTCAAATTACAATGGCTTTTGATGGTAAAAAAAAAAAAAAAAAAAATGAAGAGGGCAGATGTGGCATGGAAAAGGGTAGACCTGTAAGTAATTGCAGAGCACATGCACCAGGGAGCAGTGTCTGCGGTCCCCTTTGAAGGGATGAGTGCAAAGCATGGCCAGGCAGGTGTACTTTGCACAGAGATCCTATGCACTGAGAAAAGAGGAAAACAATTTATAGGCCTATGAAGACCTGGAAAAATTTATCTATTTTTGGAGAAATCATTTGTGCTGAAGCAATGAACACTTTCTAGAGAGCTATTTGAGGAAGCAGATGTTTAGATAATATATTGCTGCTTTGCATTTCTATAGCACCTTCCATCTAAGAGCTGCAGAGTGTAACACAAACATTAACTAATAAATTAAGCCTCGTGGCACCTCTGCATGATCAATAGACATAATCGCCATTTTTATAGTGAACGGTAGACCTTTGCTCAAGGTGCTGAAGTCATTTTCTCAAGGTCATGAAAAGGAAAAATTGCAAACTGCTTCAAAACGGGGCGCCTTTGTCCCTCTACCCACATAATCAATGGGCTTGTTCTCACTAGGCAGACCACCAACTTGTAGAGCAAGAGTCCTGCGATGGGATACTGAGTGTGATGAAGGGCACTCAGTGTAAAGCCGGCTTTCACTTCAGGAGAGATCTCTGTTACAGGGAGATGGTTTTAAAATAAGTCTTGGATCAACGACTTCACTCCTTTCTGGTTTACCTAGAAATTAGTTTGTTTACTAATGCCGGTGTCTTTCCTGGGATGATAGTGGTCTTTAGCTCCAATATTACTGTTTGTGTTGCTTAATCTGATTATGCAAAGGACTTAAAATAGTGCAAGAATATCAGACACCACCAATGCATGTGGGTTGGCTTAATGTAATTATCTTCACTGATATTTTAATTTCTGAAAATGCCATACAAGCATCAGTAGCAATAGGGTGTGTCGTCTCACAAAAGACAGTGCCTTAAGACCTTAACAGAGGGCCTCCCCGGTGGCGCAGCGGTTGAGCGCTGGGTTGCGAAGCTGCCCGCGGCCTCTGCGGCGCCGGTTCGATCCCCGGCTGCTCCCCGGCCACCGGAGGAGGGTCCCACATGGCGCGCAGACCTCTCCTGCCGCCCGCTGCTCCCCTCAGCAGTGTACTTCGGTCCTTCTGCCTGCTCTGCTCCCCCTCTGGCTCTGGTGAATTCTCTCACCCTCCCGCGCTTCTGACTGTACCCAGTGCATGTATAGACAAAACAAACAAACAAACAAAATAAATAAATAAAACATGCCTCTATAAAAAAAAAAAAAAAAAAAAAAAAAAAAAGACCTTAACAGAAACTCACTAGCTTCTCAATAAAATCTTTCTGAGATTAAACTTCACTGTGTACCTTCCTAAATGCTACTTTTCTCCATTATCACAAGCATGGTTTGTAACAGCCTGTTCCAGAGTGGGCTTCTCTTTTTTTCCCCTTTCTCTTTGATAACCCCCACAATCTCTCCAGTGGTATAATCAGGCAGAGGGAAAACAAGGTGCTGAATTCACAAAGAAAATTCTGGTGCTCATAATCTCTTTTGGAAAGAAAATGGTCCCTTCTGTTGCACACTTATGGCTTCTACCTTAGTCCACAGGTTAGACTGCTGAGAGAGCAACTAAGCCACCTCCAAGCCACTTGTATTCTTACTTTCCATTTGTTTTCTCTTTTTTTATGGCAAGAAATAACTTTCTTTAATGAAGTGAGGCCTGATTCACTTGTCAGTGCTGAGCATTCAGCCTCCTTCTCCAGAGCCCGTCCTGAGCCAGTGTCAGTACTCGTTTCCAATAAGACTATTTCTCATCACACTAAAAATTACATTTAGACGGCACTTTGCATTGCCTGAGATGCCTCCTGTTTCCTGCTTATCTCTCTGATCTCACAACCCTTTACTGCAGGACTGGCTGGTGTGTGTGGATTTGACTACACTCTGAGGTGACAGAGCCAGGGAGAACCACCAGGTGCTGGGAGCACTAGGAACCATGTGGAAGTGGAGGTGGGTACTGCTGGGTGCAAACTGCAGTCCCAGGAACTGGGCATCCTGAAGAAACTTCATCATATGTTGCCCTGGTCATCTCCACAAGAAGTAGGTGCTTTTCTAAATGGGGGAGTCTTTCTAAATGGGGGAGTGTCCATGTGAGGGAGAGAGTGGCAGGGAATGTCCTCAAGAGAAAAGTGATTCTGATATAGCTTTCTGGGAGGTGATGAAAATTCTCCTCATAGACTAGATGTTTTAAGCATAGTTTGTTTTAAGAGTTAGGATGTAAATGAGCTTGGCGTATAGTCTGTTTCCTACACATGTGGGCAAATCAACAGAGTCAAAGGAGAGGGGGTGGAGAACGTGTGAGTGGAAATAGCACTCAACCAGTAGCCTCAGCTGCTGCACACGGGCGTTTTCATTTAGCACTTCTGGTCCCCACAATTTCTCAGAACACTACTGAGTATCAAGATTGCTAAACTTAAAGGAAGAACTAACGATCTGGTGATAGCAGAGAAGCTACCCTGCAGCCCTCCACAGTGGCCATGAGATCACTTCTCAGCACCAGACTCTGTGGTCTGGGCTTTGGGTGCTGGGTCCTAGTTGGTCTGAGGCTCATTTGTCTCACTTGAAGGATAAGCCCAGGGTTGTGTGAAGTAGCGCTGCTTACACCCTCGTCATTAATTTGGGAGTTTTACTGCAACTTTGAAGCACGCGTAAGAGAAAGGCAGAGCACATGAAATCATTGCTGATCTTAAGGGAATTTATATGTTGGGATAGAAAATTATTCCCTAATTATTTGCTTCCCTGCTCACCTGAAAACTGACAGGGTTGAATGGTTTTGTGACAAAAGAAAAAGGTGGTGGTTGTAACTTCTGTTAAGATTCTCACCTGAAAGCATCAGAAAAAAAAAAAATCAACCTTCTATATGGGATAAATATTTGCAATTCATATATCTGAAAAGAGGTTAATATTTGAATATATAAGGAATTCCTACAACTTAATAGCAAAAAAAAAAAATTAATGAAAAAATGGGCAGGAAACTAAATATTTTTCCTAAACAAACATACAAATGATACATGAAAAAGGGCTCATTATCGCTAATCAGGGAAATATAAATCAAAACCACAATGAAATACCACCTCACAGCTGCTAGAATGGTTAAAAAAAAGTGTTAGCAAGAATGTTGAATAAAGGAATCTTTTTACATTGTTGGGGGCTGCATTTTACATTATATATGTATGTTTATATACACAGATGTTTTTATATTTTAAAATAATTTTTTATGTTTATATTTTATATGTATCACATATTTTATATTTATATATATTTACATGTTTATGTATTTGTCGATACATTTTATGACTCACCCTAAACTTATTGTTTTAAAAAAGCTTGGCAGTCACTTTTTATATTGTGATAAAATATACAGAACAGGTAGTTTACCATTTTAGTCATTATCAAGTGGTACAATTCAGTGGTATAAAGGGCATTCACAATGTTGTGTAACCATCATCACCACCTATATCAAGCTAAATTCAGAAGATTTTGAATGACTGTGATCAGAGGAGACTGAAATTAATTCTGTAGAAATTCTGACGGAAAGTGATCCAAATGCTGCTCATGCTATATGGGGCTTTCAATACCACTCTGGTGTATTAGTCTGTAGCTGCTGCTTTACCTTGAGAAGTAGACTGCCCCTCCTAATCCTTTAGGTTAAGTGTGGCCCCTGACTTAGCATTGAGGTCCCTTCCCAGCCCTCATCTGTTGTTTCATAAAATAACTCCCCCGTGAAAAGTTAAGAAGTTGAACAAATTTCTCTTTTCCATCAAGTCCTAATAAGTGAAATTCTCTCTAGCGTAACCCCAGTAAAAACTGGACTTGGTAATTAAGAAATGATTTACTTATTTGCCAGTGTGTTCTCTCACTGTATTCTAGACACATTCATCACTCTTACCTGTCTAAAAGAGAACCCTTCTCTGGCCCCCACACTTGTCCCATTTCTAACATCACTGACGCATAAGAGCCCCATCCCTGTAAGTTCTCAGGCAAGGGGCTCATCATCTCGATGGCAAATAATATAACACAGAATCAGCACACTTGACAAAAGCATACAATTGATTGCATTGTTCCTAACCTTTTGGAATTTTGAAACTAAGTTGTTTAGATCCCTGTCATTAATAATATCCCTGGGATTGTTATGTTGTTCACATTTCCTGACCACATTAGGCAAATTATCTGCCTAATAAATAGATTTTATAAGCCATCAGTTTTCATACATGTATATTTATTTTTATATTTAGTTGAAGTATCATTGGTTTACAATGCTGTATGATTTAAGGGGATTGGTTCACACCTTCTCAGATTCATGTCACCACATCACACACCACCACCAAGCCCCTGTAGTCCTATACTATAGACCATTGGGCTCTCTGCCCACTTTGCTCCTACGTCCAGCCTCCCTCCCCTTCTAGTAGCCTCAGTTCTGCCATCTTATTTCCAGGGTTTGTTTTGGTTTAGTTTTGTCTGTTCCTTTGTTATGTTTTTCTATATTCTGCATAGGAGTGAAATCATCTGGTATTTATCTGTCATCTGATTAATTTTGCATAACGACCCTCCAGTCCCATTGTCACCAATGGCAAGAGTTTATCTTTTTCATAGCTGAGTGGTATTCCATCATGTATATCTTCTTCTTAATCCACTGCTCTGTTGCAGGCATTTAGGTTGCAAAGAGAGCTGCAGTGAACATAGGAGTGCATATATCCCTTCAAGTTAGTGTGGTTTTTTTCATTCTTTGGGCAGATACCTAGGAGTGGAGTTGCTGGATAATGTGATAGATCTATTCTTCATGGTTTGAGATACTTCTGTACTGTTTTCCATGGGGGCTGGACCAATCTACATTCCCACCAGCAGTGGACAATGGTTCTCTTTTCTTTTCCAGTATTTGTTGTTGCTATTTTTCTTTGTTTGTTTGTTTATTTGTTTGGTATGGGTGGTTCTCCCTGAAATGAGCTGGTATTTCATGGTGGTTTTTATTTGTATTTCACCGTGATGTTGAATCATATAATTTTTTTTTAAGAGTTATTTATTTATTTATTTATATAAGCACTGGGTACAGTCAGAAGCACAGGAGGGTGAGAGAATTCACCAGAGCGGGGAGCAGAGCAGGCAGAAGGACCGAAGTACACTGCTGAGTGGAGCAGCAGGCGGCAGGAGAGGTCTGTGCGCCATGTGGGACCCTCGCCCAGCAGCCGGGGATTGAACCGGCGCTGCAAAGGCTGTGGGCAGCTTCGCAACCCAGTGCTCAACCGCTGCACCACCGGGGAGGCCCAAATCATATAATTCTTTAAAAAGAGAAATTGGTACTGGTAAGAGGGTGAGAAAGATTATGCCAGAGAGCCCTGATTCAATGAAATTTGAATCATGTGAGGGAGAAAATGAAGAATTTAAAAAAGTTCTCATCAGTTGTGCCTTTAACAACAGAAGGGAAAAGAGAGTGGCCAGCCATATTCTCTCTGTGAAAGATGTGCAATCCCTGAATGGGGTGAGTTCTCGGTGTTTGATAAATTCCAATCCAGAATGTAGAGAGGTGCTGAGAAGGGAGCATGTGCCTACTGCTTTGTGAATTTGGTCCAGTGGCTTTCTCCTTGTTCCAGGTTGATAGCTGGCCTGTAACACTGAGTCAAGGGTGAGTTCTAAGGACTGGACAGAATCCTTCCCCTGGGGGAAGCACCTGTTTCCTACCATTCAGAAGCAATGATTCCACTTCTCCCAGCTTGTCGGTTTACGACAGCATCCTCTCACTGCATTCTCTCCCGTTTCCTATTGTGCTGAGAATCAGCTATTCAGTGGAACTGGCACTTTTAGGGAGCTTTAAAATGAAATCTTCCATGCCTTCTTACTATGTTTTTCCTCCACATGGTGAATAGCTGGTGAACAAAATTACAGAGGGCCTAGGTCACAGATTAACTTGATGTCTGGTGTTGATATTTCCCCAAATTGCTTGTTTTCTCCTTTCTAGGCTCCAGGCTTAGGAAGGTACAGAATTATAATTTGTCGGGTTATTATGGCAACCTGTATACATTCTTTTCATGGTTTCATAGTTTGATCCATAGATCAGAATCATAGATCCGTAGAGTCTGATTTGATTACAGGGATTTTTTTTTTTTTAAGATTTATTTATTTATTTATTTATTTATTTATACAAGCACTGGGTACAGTCAGAAGCGCGGGAGAATGAGAGAATTCATCAGAGCCAGAGCAGGTAGCAGAGCAGGCAGAAGGACCGAAGTACACTGCTGAGGGGAGCAGCGGGCGGCAGGAGAGGTCTGCGCGCCATGTGGGACCCTCCTCGGGTGACCGGGGAGCAGCCGGGGATCGAACTAGCGCTGCAGAGGCTGTGGGCATCTTCGCAACCCAGCGCTCAACCGCTGCGCCACCGGGGAGGCCCTGATTACAGGGATTTTAATGAATGACTTCCATGTCTTGCAAAACACATTTTTTAATTAATGAATTATACACAGAAACAGGTACTATTTTTTGTACCTTTGTTTTGATTAAAAGGTAGTTCATTTATTTAGATGTGCTACTTCAATTTATGTTGCTCAACTGGGTATTTTTTTAAATCACAAATCTTTGCCACTCACAAAGGATCCCCACTGGTGCAATAGATGGCAATAGAGGGAACCTATGAGGGGAAACTTATCAATAGGAAAATCTAGCAAATTGGCTTCAACACAATGATATTTGATATTGGTTCTTGTTGTCTCAGGATGCCATCAGTGGTTAGAAAATAACTGTATCAAGGAAGGAGAACATTTGCATTTAATATGCTTTGAAGGGATGATGCATAAACCTCTTCTGTTTGCACTTAATTGGCAAGTATTTGCTTGTTAAGAGTTATTACATGGAATCTACCCAATGAATTCCCATCACTATTGTTTGCTTTTTTATGATGGCCCAGTGGAAAGGGTTGGAGCATCTTGACTTCCTCACCATGCTGGGTTTATATGATTCTTGCCACATCTCCCCAAGATCTTATTCTTGACTTTTTCTGTTGCAAACTCTTGATACAAATATCCCTTATAGCTTTGGATGGTTTCAAAAAGGATATTATTTCAAAGAAATTTAGGATGATGGATAATTTCATAGCACCTTGGGTTGCAATCTTATTTGGTGGTTAAGGTGAATATCTCCTGGGATATGTAATTCACTGTGATGGGAATCTTCACCAACATACAGAAGCAATAAAGAAGCTGCATCAAAATTCTTTAGCTCCTGGAGTTTTTTTCTAGTGCCCTTTAGAGCCACCG